GTTAGGGGCCACATTTCGACCATGTCAACCTCATTCTGATCCAAGTCGGCCAGATGTTTATTCGTTTTTAGAAATTGTGTGATGGATTGAAGAAACTTCTGCCACCTACTCCATCTAAGGTTGCATCTTTCTGGAGGGTAGAATCAAAAGTTTTTTTTCTTTTTCAATTTCTCAATTACACCAAATAAAATGAGAAAAATACAACGAAAAATTAATTAATAAATTAATTAATGAATTAGATGGAAATAATAATTTTTATTTCAAATACATCTTAAAATACACATCAAGTACTGGCCTGACCTTCAGATGTTACTTGCTCTACTCTCTGTATAGAAGAAAATTAGAAAATTATTTTAATCTATATACCTAATAGAATTCAGTTCTTTTGAAAAATTAAATTCTGCATAGAACATATAAATCAAAAATAAAATTAAATATATTTAAAACTTGAAAATAGAAATTTAAACTAAACAAATTAATTTTAACGGAACATCACATACTGATGTTACAAGTGCAAGTTGAGATTTCCTTCGATCTGGCAGTGGGATGGCCATTGGAGTCGAGTTGAGTTTCAATGTCGGCACATAATCGACACTACTTGGATTATCACTTTTCTCTGAAAAATGATAATTTTTATTGGACTATTTGGAATTTTTAAAGTAAAGTATCACCCATTTAGTTTTAATAGATAAATACATAATTAGATAAGTTTGAAAAAGATCATAACAACTAAACTAAAAAGGCAAAAGTCAATCAAAGAATAACAGTTTTATTGTTCTTCAATTGACTTTTCATCTTTTTAGTTGTTATAATTTTTTGAAAAAGTGACTGTATACCTTTAACAAAGTGACTGCTACAAATTCTTCCATCATCAGAGGGAACCCAGGGTTTGCCGGTGATGGGGCAGAGGCGATTGATGGCCTTTAACCAGAGAGAACGACGTGGTTCATCTTTTGGGATTCGATGGAACTTTAACCCCTCCATTTTGTTTGTATCCTTGTTTCTGCAGCCGACAATTACACAGTTTTTACCCATTTTTAAATTTGTTCGTCTATATGAGAAGAATTTACGAGATTTTACGATTTTAGTGAAAGGAATGTACACGGAAATGGCGGAAATCCTGAAAACCTCCCTAACAACTCTACTATCTTCGCTCGAATTTTATAACAACACGATCGAAGCAGAAACAATTCAATCAGCAACTCTCTAAATTAAATAGACTTTAAAATATATTTTCAAAACTAATTAATTGAAACCGAACACATAAATTTTCAAATCGCAGCAAAGATAATTCAAATTAAAAAATAAACATTTGAGCTACGAGCGTCAACATGGTACCAGAACATTAC